GGTCTGACTCGACGGCACACAACAACAACAACAACAGGGTCACCATGAGCGCAGTAGACTTGATGGCAACTGGTTTTCTGTTTTTTAATGTCTCCCTTGTGACAGATCAGTGTTCGGCATATTCCTACCAGATGGTGGCATTCTCCAGTTGACATTCAATGCAGTATCAGCGTCTTCCATGCGATGTTTACTGGGGTACTAAGGAAAAAAAATATTCCTTAGTCAAACCTTTGAGATACTGGAGTTAAAATACGTAAATAACTGCAGGACTTCTCAGAGCCTTTAGTTTGTCCAGAGGAACTCCAAAAGAAGTGGTTCTCAACCTCATATGACCAAAGAATTCCTTTTCTCAAGGGACATATATTACCTGACAATGAAGTGTAGTGTTGGTAGTGTGATGTTATTGGGTGTGTGTGGGAACAGTATATAATGTGTGATCCTGGTTCAAGCATTTTTTGTCATGTGGCTTCCTGCTTCCCTCAGACTCCGCCATGGCGTGGCTGAGATTTATCTAGAAGACATTCTGGAAGCATTTTGCCAAAATCCTATTGACATACACCCTTCTGCTCAAATGGATTAGCAGAAACACAGCAGAGTGAAAAGGGAAGGGGATAAAGAGGCACAGGGAGATGGGAGGTGGACAGTGGGAGAGATCTTTTACAGTTTTCCTTCAACATATTTTAATGGAGTACCAACTGTGGACTGCTATCTCTCTGGACAGTGCAAATACAGAACAAAACCCCGCCCACCTGGAGCGTATGCTGTATAAGTCATCACTCTCTTAGAATCTGCACCACGTTTTCCATCTGCCACAAAAGTACAGATTATTTACCTTTATCTCATAATTATTTGCATTTTAATACAAATTCTATAAATCGGAAAAGGCTTAAAGATTCAAAGCCAATGGCAGACCCTGAGGATCTGGGAGGAGGGAGGGAGCCTATTGGTGAATTCCACTCGCATCCCTCCAACCCTGTGCTCTTGTCAAAGACAAAGAATGTCAAAGACATCCAATGGTAGTAATCTCCATTGTAGGACAGGAGGGGCATAGTGTTGTTGTTATTGTTATGTGCCATCGAGTCGGACTTGACTCATAGCGACCCCTCCTTGGGTTTCCAAGGCAGTATCACTACGGAAGTAGATTGCCCAACCTTCCTTCCAAGGAGTGACTGGTGGGTTTGAACTGCCAGCCTTCTGGTTAGCAGTCAAATGACTTAGGTACTATGCTGCCCACTGTGCCACCAGAGCTCCTTCAGGAGCACAGATGGGTGCTATGAATCAGAGTGTTTTTGCCTTACTAATGTCCCAGCTGTGTGACAATAATGTTAATACTACTATAATTATTTTTATTATTAGAGCTACTTGTTTATGAGCAGTACACTCATGCCGAATACTTTCCATACATTTCTCCATAACCTGTTGCTATGGAGTCAATTCTGACACAGCAACTCTGTAGAACAGAGTAGAACCGCCCCCATAGAGTTTCCAAGGCTGTATGGTAGCGTAGTGCCTAAGGCACTTGACTGGTATCCAGAAGGCTGGTGGTTCAAACCCACCAGCCACTCCTTGGAAGGAAGGTTGGGCAATCTACTTCCATAGTGATACTGCCTTGGAAACCCAAGGAGGGGTCGCTATGAGTCAGGTCTGACTTGACAGCAGATAACAACAACAACAACAATCTTTACCAAACAGACCACTACATCTTTCTTGCATGGAGGAGCTGGTGGGTTTGAACCACCAACCTTTTGGTTAGCAGCCAAGAGGTTTACCCACAGTACCATCAGGGCTCCATACATTTCTCCACTTGACTTTTGACCCCTATAACACTTTTTGGTAGGTATTATTATCACCATTTTATAGATGAGAAAACTGAGGACAGAGAGCTTAAGTAACAGACCTAGAGTCCCACAACTAGTAAGCAACACAGCTGGGATTTGAACCCAGATATTTAAAGCCCATACTTTTCTCCTGGGCACTATAGCTCATGTTCTCTCATTGTTCTTATTACTAATATACTACTTATAAAGTACCCACCCACTACCACCCACCCTGGATGTCCTAGTTGGCAGGTTCTCTTCCAAAGGCCATGATCCTTGCCTGGGGTTCTTTGCACAGAGCCCTGGTTTTGAAGAGGGAGTTGGATGGATCATGGCGATTCTAACCTTTTGTTTGTTTATTTAGAATGTATGAACTGAGTTGCTACTTACCTCAAGAAAAAGACCTGAAAATTTCTGTTTATGATTATGACACCTTTACTCGTGATGAAAAAGTGGGAGAGACAATTATTGATCTGGAAAACCGATTCCTTTCCCGGTTTGGGTCCCACTGTGGCATACCTGAGCGGTATTGTATGTAAGTTGCTTTGGCCTTGAATTAGACATTTTGTTTCATTTGACACTAATAGTAGAAAAGGCTTTGACTTTCTCCCTCAGTGCCTCTCTTCACTGAACTGCTGTACCTTTCAGTCAGATAAATACCGTTTTTAATAGTAGGACTATTTTAGGGAGAATCAGGCCCATCCCATTGCCCTGTTCCAGGGTCACCTTTCACATTGTCATCTGTGTAAAATGGTGGCCTTGGAGCAGTGCAGTGCCCAGTCTGCATAGCACAGGCAGCAGTTCCAGGAGGACCAGCCCCTTCCCTCCTCCTCTTTGAGCCTTTCCATCCAGTGGCGCCACTAGCGTTGGTGTCACCCAGTGCAGTAACCAATGTGCCACTCCACCCCCAAGCGCCATGGATCTCCTCCTGTACCAGACCATACAGAATCCTTAGGAATGTTTATTATCAATATCAATCCTAGAATAACATGTGATAAATACAGTTGTAAATTATTTAAATGTAGTATTTCTTAGATTATATGAACACTAACAAAATTGTTTTGTAAAATCTTTCTACATTGAATTACGGCATTATTAGTTATGACATTATTAGTAACTGAATGGAAACTTTTTTTGGTTTTTCCCCTTTTCCTTTAATTACTACTTTATTCTCAACACAGTTATTGATATAGATTCACAAATACTAATTACCACAATATTGTAGTTAAAACCACAGAAAATTTGGCAAAATCAATGGCTATTAAAACACCAGGGACAATGAAAACTAAAGCACATGCTTGTAGCACGTGCAGATGAAACCATGTTATTCAAAGCATTCCCTCTGCCTCTTTGAGCCCTTGGTGAAAGGAACTGAGTGCTTGGGAAGCACAATCTCCCTTCCCCCACCCCAAACTGACCAATTTTGTGATGTCCCTTCTTCGTGAGTGCTGTACAGTGTCTTCCTGCAGCATCCAATGCTCTATAGCTTGCACTTTGTGGTTTATGAATTTGTCTTTTATGATGATAATGATCTCAGTCAATTTTTTCATTTTTACAGAGGAGGAAACTGAGGGCCAAAAATCTGATCAGTTCGCTGAGGTCAAATAACATGTAGATTTTAGGGTTCAGAAATGGATTTCTAGGCAAAACTCAAAGTGTGGATCACATTCCTTGCCCCCCATGATAAAGGCGCATCTATACGTATCGTGTGTGTGTGTGTGTGTGTGTGTGAATTCAAGGAGATCTTGTGTACCTGGCAGTAACTCTGGTCACTCATGTTATTCACAGTTCTGGAGTAAATACCTGGCGAGATCAGTTGAGACCAACACAGCTGCTTCAAAATGTCGCCAGATTTAAGGGCTTCCCACCACCCATCCTTTCTGAAGATGGGAGTAGAATCAGATATGGAGGACAAGACTACAGTTTGGATGAATTTGGTGAGCAAGTTGTTATGGATTACAAAGTATAGTAATCCAATTATGTTACTGGGTTTGTTTTGGGAAGAGGATAGGCAGGCCCACTACCCTAATTATAGTATATGAGACTGCACACATGACTCGTCTAACAAAAGCCTTGTTATAGTAGAGTTCAGCTGTCTTGTCAAATGTCAAAGTGGTCACATTTTCTTGCCATTCTTATGTTTCATCTGATCTTTTGGGGTCATACTATTTAAGCTCTAAACACAAAGTTCTAGGAATTAACTCATTTCTATGTAATACACAATTAACGCAAAAATGTTCGTATGGTAATGCAAGAGTTTCTCTTCCATGTTTGTCCCATCATTTATTCCAGTCCTTCTCTGAGAAGGCTCCAGAATGTTGGGGTTGGTTTGAAGAGCTTGCTGAGCACACATCTGGGTCACATCAGAGCTTGAGGTCTTACTCTTTCCCAAGCAATAATTTATAATACAACCCATCCTGACACATAGACAGCTAGCTACACTATGACAACACTGAAGAACACAAGAGCTATGGCATGATTCAGTGTGGTGGCAGGGAGCATCTTCTGAGAGGGAGTGGCTGTGGGTCTGGCCTTGCAGGGTATGTGGGATATCCAGAGAAAACTGAGAAAAGGCACATGGGAGTGAAAGTGCTTACTGATCCTGAATTGTTTATTCTTGACATTGTAAGAAACTATGTTTGTGTTTTGATTTAGAAGAGGATGTAGTCAGGGATGGTCCTTTGTTTAAGAAATATTAATGTGTAAACTTGAAAAATTTGTTGAAAATAAGCTGGGAGTCACCATAGCATAGTAGTTAAAAGTACTACCTAAAATCATCAAGCTATATTAATTATTAAGGGAGGGGCCTGAGGTAGGCAGGCCCAGGGCTTGGAGGCTGCTTTTTGCTTGGGGGGTGGCTCAACATTAAAGCCGGGGCCATTAAAGCAGGTGCAGAGGGATTAGGAACAACTAAGAACTTGTCTGTCAGTTTGTCATCCTGTGGTGACTTATGTGTTGCTGTGAGGCTGGAGGCTGTGCCACCGTGTTGCAAAATGTCAGCAGGTTACCCATGGTGGAGAAGTTTCAGTGGAGCTTGCAGGCTAAGACAGACTGAGAAAAAAGGGAGAGGCCATCCACTTCTCAAAGAATTATCCATTGAAAACTTTATGAATAGCAGTGAAACACTGTCTATATATTACTGGAAAACTTTATGAACAGCCCTGAAACATTGTCTGACACAGTGCCAGAAGGTGAGCCCATCAGCTCAGAAGGCACTCAAAATTTGACTGGGAAAGAGCTGACTCCTCAGAGTAGAGATGACCTTAATGTTATGGACACTGTAAACCTTTAGGGACCACCGTTGGCTGATGTGGCATGACTCAAAATGAGTAGAAACAGATGCAAACATCCATTAATAATTGGAACACAGAATGTACGAAGTACGAATGTAGGAAAATTGGAAGTTGTCAAAAATGAAATGGAATGCATAAAGATCGATATTGTAGGCATTAGTGAGCTGAAATGGACTGGTTTTGGCCATTTTGAATCAGACAAACATATGATCTACTGTGCTGGGAATGACAAATTGAAGAGGAATGGTGTGCCATTCATCGTCACAAAGACTGTTTCAAGATCTATCCTGAAGTACAGTGCTGTCAGTGAGAGGATAATATCCATACACCTGCAAGGAAGACCAGTTAATACCACTATTATCCAAAATTTCACACTAATCATCAAAGCCTAAGATGAGGAAATTGAAGATTTCTACCAACTTCTGCAGTCTGAAATAGATCAAACATGCAATCAAGGTGTGTTGATTACCACTGATGACTGGGATGCAAAAGTTGGAAACAAAGAAGAGTTACTGGTAGTTTGAAAATATGGCCTTGGTGATAGAAATAATGCTGGAGATCGCATGAGAGAATTTTGCAAGGCCAATGACTTACTCATTGCAAATACCTTTTTCAACAACATAAGCGACAGCCATACATGTGGACTTCACAGGATAGGATGCACAGGAATCAGATGGACTACATCCGTGACAAGAAGCAATGGAGAAGTTCAATATCTTTGGCCAAAACAAGGCCAGGAACTGATTGTGGAACAGACCATCAACTGCTCATATGCATGTTCAAGTTGAAGTTGAAGACAATTAAAACAAGTTCATGAGACTGCTCTATAGGAAGTGAATTTCCTCTGTAAATTTTCACCCAAATCACAATTTAAAAAACTAAAAAAAAAAAGTTCACAAGAGCCAAAATACGACCTTGATAATATCCCTCCTGAATTTAGAGACCATTTAAAGAATAGATTTGATACATTGAACACCAATGACCAAGAGCCAGAGGAATTGTGGGATGACATCAAGAACATCAACCATGAAGAAAGCAAAAGGTCATTAAAAAGACAAGAAAGGAAGAAAAGACCAAAATGGATGTCAGAATAGACTCTGAAACTTGCCCTTGAGGAGAGAGTAGCTGAAGCAAATGGAAGACAAGATAAAAGAGCTGAACAGAAGATTTCAAAGAGCAGTTTGAGCAGACAAAGCCAATTACTATTATGAAATGTGCAAAGACCTGGAGTTAGAGAACCAAAAGGAAAGAACACGCTCGGCATTTCTCAGGCTGAAAGAACTGAGGATAAAAATTAAGCCTCAAGTTGCAATATTTAAAGAGTCTGTGGGCAAAATCTCCTCGGAAGGAAGATGGGGCAATCTACTTCCATAGTGATAATGCCTTGGAAACCCAAGGAGGGGTCGCTATGAGTTGGGGCCAACTCGATGGCACATAACAACAACAACAAAAATGGGCAAAATATTGAATGACGCAGGAAGCATCAAAAGAAGATGGAAGGAATATACAGAGTCACTGTACCAAAAAGAATTGGTTGATATTCATCTATTTCAGGAGGTGGCATATGATCAAGAACCAATAGTACTGAAGGAAGAAGTCAAAGCTGCACTGAAGGAATTGCCAAAGAACAAGGCTCCAGGAATTGACGGAATACCCTTTGAGATGTTTCAGCAAATGGATACCCTGCTGGAGACACTCACTTGGTTATGCCAAGAGATTTGGAAGACAGCTACCTGGCCAGCTGACTGGAAGAGATCCATATTTGTACCCATTCCAAAGAAAGGTGATCCCACAGAATGTGGAAATTATCAAATAATATCACATGCAAGTAAAATCTTACTGAAGATAATTAAAAAACGGTTGCAGCAGTCTATTGACAGAAAGCTTCCAGAAATGCAAGCTGGATTCAGAAGAGGACATGGAATGGGGGATATCATTGCTGATGTCAGATGGATCTTAGCTGAAGGCAAAGAATACCAGAAACATGTTTACGTATGTTTTATTGACTATACAAAAGCATTCAATTGTATGGATCATAATAAATTGTGGATAACATTGAGAAGAATGAGAATTCTGGAACACTTGATTGTACTCATGAGGAACCTGTACATAGATCAGGAGGCTGTTGTTCAAACAAAACATGGGGATATTGCATGGTTCAAAATCAAGAAGGAAGTACTTCAAGGTTGTATCCTTTGACCATACTTATTCAACTTGTAGGCTGAGCAAATAATCTGAGAAGCTGGAATATATGAAGAAGAATGTGGCATCAGGATTAGAGGAAAACTCATTAACAACCTGTGATATGCAGATGACACAACTTTGCTTGCTGAAAATGAGGATGACTTGAAGCACTTATTGATGAAGATTAAAGACTACAGTCTGCAGTATGGATTACACCTCAATGTAAAGAAAACAAAAATCCTCACAACTGGTCCAATAAACAGCTTCATGGTGGATGGAGAAAAGATTGAAGTTGCCAAGGATTTCATATCACTTGGCTCTACAACCAACATCAATGGAAGCAGCGGTCAAGACATCAGATGATGTATTTCATTGGACAAATCTACTGCAAAAACCCTCTTTCAAGTGATGAAGAGCAGAGATGTCTCTTTGAAGGCTAAGGTGCACCTAACCCAAGCCGTGATATTTTCAGTCACCTCATATGCATGTGAGAGCTGGGCAGTGAATAAGGAAGACTGAAGAAGAGTTGATGCTTTTTAGTTGTGGTGTTGGAGAAGAATGCTAGGAGTACCATGGACTGCTAAAAGGACTAACAAATCTGTCCTGGAGGAAATGCAGTCAGAATGCTCCTTGGAAGTGAGACTGGCAGACTTTGGTCATGTTGTCAGAAGGAACCATTTCCTAGAGAAGGGTATCATGCTTGGTAAAGTGGAGGGTCAACAAAGAAGGGGAAGGGCCTCAACGAGATGAATAGACACAGTGGCTGCCACGATGGGCTCAGGTATAGCAAGGATCATGAGGCTGGCACAGGACCAGGCAGTGTTTCGTTCTGCTGTGCATAGGATTGCTATGAGTTGAAGATGACTCAATGGCATCTAACAACAAAAACAACATATTAATCATGGAGATTGTTCCAGTTATAACTGTTACATAGAAAATCACCCCAAAACTTAGCGGCTTAAAACAATCATTTTGTTTTGCTCATAATTTTGTGAGTCAGAGATTCATAGGAAGGGTTCCACTGGGCAATTCTTACTTGAGGTGGCTCATGGGGTTTCATTCAGGTATCAGCTGGGGCTGCCATCATCTGAAAGCTCAGTTGGGCTGGACAGCCAAGGTACAAATGCACGTGACTGGCAGTTGTTGCTGGCTCCAGGCTGGGAACTCAGCTGGGACTGCTGACCTAAGCACATTCATAGATCTTTACAACAGGGCACTCCTGGGAGCCAGGCGTCTAGCCTCAGATGTTATACAGTGTTGCTTTCTCAATATTTTGTTGATTGAATTTGTCCCTAGATTCAAAGGGAGAAGACGTAGATCCCACATCTTGGTGGGAGGAGCATACAAGAATTTGGGGGCTATGTTTTAAAAATGCCACAGCAATATCAGCTACTGAAACAGAATTCCAAGTTTCAATGGCTTGACAGGTGGACGTTTATTTCCCATAAATTAAAAACAGGTATTCCTGCAGGTGGTGGCCCTTCTCCAGGCAGTGCTCCTGCACTCAGGCCCCTTCTGTCCTAGAGCTCTGCCATTCTTCAGCTCAGACTCCTCAGATTGCTGTTCTCATCTGCATGAAGGTAGCAGGAGAGAAAGGCTAATAGAGGATCCTATGTGGAAGGGTCTATGGGCCTGCCATGGAAATGACACACATCACTTCCACTCATGTTACATTCTAGATGAACTGGGTCACATACCACACCCAACTACAGAGGAGGCTAGCAACAGAGTCTTACTATGAGCCTCTGCCACAGAAACAAATACAGGCTTTTCTCACTTACATGTTCTCATGTATCCCAGTCTCTTTGCTATTGGCATCCCAGAAGTTGGGTGTGAGCCTAGGTGGGGAAGGGCCCTTAGTCAGAAAATATTTCTACCAACTCCCTCCTAAATCAGAAGTGTACATATTGGTACTGCAAAGTCTGGGGTGAAGTGCTGCAGGCAACTCAAAGCAACCTGGTTGACCTGTTCTCAGATGCCCACCCTGAGTCAATGCCATTCCAATCCATTTCCATTCCAGAAGCCAACAAAATTCTGCACCGACACCTCGGGGCCCCTGATGAGCGTCTTGCCCTTCACATCCTTAGGACTCAGGGGCTGGTCCCTGAACACGTGGAAACAAGGACTTTGCACAGCACCTTCCAGCCCAATATTTCCCAGGTAAAATGGCTTTCCACCTTTGAAGACCCATCATCCAAATAACAAATGCAATGGTAATAACTAACACAGATTTGCCTCTTTTATTTCATTTGGATACTTTTGATTGCAAAAAATAAAACTCAAATTACCTTCCTCACATAGCAGACTTCATTATAAAAATGTTCAAGTAATTCACAAAATCCAGACGGGAGAGTGGTTATGACACAGAGCAAACATGAATCAGGGTCTCTTGTCATTCTTTCTCTCTCTGAGTATATTTTAGCCTGCTTTCTTGCTATGGTCACCTCCCTATGCATCAGAACATGATGGACAGTTCCCAGGAGCTTTTATGTTACAATGTAGCCCCATCTACCTTCAGTATGAAAGTGATTGGTTGTCCCACCTTGACCCAGTTGTCCTCCACTAGACCACTCAGCTGTTGCCGGGAGGGCAAGATCTGGCAAACGAATTGAGCCAGAGAAGGTTTCATCTGAGACTAAAGAGCAGAGAAGTAGGGCCACAGTGCACAAGGTGTCTGCTCATTGTCACCATGAGGGAGGATCAAAGCCTAAAAGACGGGAGCAGGTTCCAGAGAGCCTGGTAGGGCCTGGCAACATAGTCATTGACAGCATAGTCAATGTGGAAGATTGCTATGATGATTGTGACGCCGTGCCTGCAGAGATACACGTGTAGGTTTGGGTGGGGCTGGGAATCTGAAATTTTAGCAAGTATCTAGAGTGGTTCTTATGCAAGTGGCTAGGGGATCACACGAAGAAATATTAATATAATGAATATACATATGTTGACACCGACAGTAATGACACAATCAATAAAGTATGCAAAACTATGGACAAATTGATCTCCAAAAAGTGGCCACAAGTAGTCTGATTTTACTGGATTATTTTGTCACTTACTACTTACTTTTTTTGTTGTTATCCTTCCATATTTCATTTCCTCCTTTTCTTATTCTTCTTCCTTCTTCTCTCTTCCCACCTACACCTCAACTGAATAAAAAATCTCAACAAAGATTTCTCCCTAGGAGCCCACAACCCCCCATCATAGCATTAGATGCAGTCTGTGACTCAGTCTTAGCAGACACTAGACGCCTAAGGTTCTTCAGTGTGCTTGATATATTGTAGAACCTTGACCCCTAGAGATTACTTGGAAGAGAATCAGGATCACAGTAAAATGTATCTCTTTTCAGGAGCTCCAGTTAATTTGCTTTGATCACAATGCATCAGGAAGCCAATCTAGTGGTTTCCTTGGCAACCTTCTTGAAGACCGTCTGTTTCTGTCATAAAGGCAGAGTCTACAAAACATCCCAAAACAGTTTGGGGAACGTAAATTGGTTCATACGGTTGATACAGCTTTTTAATGGCATTCCTAACCTGTCGGGAAGAACATTCCAGTCAGATGGATTGGCCTGCTCTATGGCTGTCAAAGAGCTGAGCAGCACCTCACCAAGATGCCCTGCACAAGTGTCAGTCCAGGCTTCCATCCAGTGGCATCACTAGGGTTGGTGTGACCCAGTGCAGTAACCAACGGTGCCACTCCACCTCCAAACCCCATGGATCTCCTCCTGTACCAAACCATACAGAATCCTTAGGAATGTTTATTATCAATATCAATCATAGAATAATATGTGATAAATATAGTTGTAAATTATTTAGATGTAGTATTTCTTAGATTATATGAATACTAACAACAAAATTGTTTTGTAAAATCTTTCTGCGTTGAATTACAACATTGTTAGTTATGACATTATTGGAAACCTTTTTTGTTTTTTCCCCTTTTACTTTAATTACTACTTTATTCTCAAAACAGTTATTGATATAGATTCACAAATACTAATCACCACAATATTGTAGTTAAATAAAACCACAGAAAATTTGGCAAAATAGATGGCTATTAAAACACCAGTAGCAACGAAAACTAAAGAACATGCTTGTAGCACATGCAGGTGAAACCACAGAGTTCAAAGCATCATTGTAAATGGGTAATAATGACAACTCTGACCAGAGCACGTTGTTGTTGTTATGTGCCATCAAGTCGGACCCAACTCATAGCGACTCCTAAAATTCAAAAAGTAAATTAGCATAGTGTTTTAGCCTTATAGGTATATTTATACACATAAGCTGGGCTTCTGAAAAATGTTTTTGTTGTTACAGCCATACAGATTTTCATATTAAAAAAATAATAAATTTCTGCTGAAACACTGCACAAAAATTTTATAGACAGTCTTTTTGGTGTCACCCCTCTGACAACGTCACCCAGTGTGGTTTGTACCTCCTACACTCCCCTGGTGACGCTGCTGCTTCTGTCTTGCCCGTGTGCAAGCCTTTTACCAGAGGGGAGGCACTGCTGAGCCAATGGCAGGGAATCCTGGCCTTTGGGAACAGTGATGCTCTTGTCATTACTGAAGTCCCTCCTTTAGGACTTCTTTGAAAGTGCTAAGTTTTAAGCTTTTATTTTGAAAAATTACATTTTACATTATTTTGATTTTGTATCTTGAGGTAAATGGAGAAACTCTTGGGTATCACTGGGAATGATGACAAGTAGTCAATGTGATGGTGGATAGAGTGACAGCATGAGAACTGTTCTGAAGGGTGAAGGGCCCAATTTTAAGACGTTGTAAGAGACTGTGTGTGTATGTTAGGGCTTTTGTTAGTGATGCAAAGCTCTTCATTTTATTAAGTAGGGGATATTCCAAATAGAATACAGGTAGGCATACATCAGCCATCAGAGATCCCTGAGTGAGAGAAGGGAGTGGATGGGCTAAAGGACATGACACACGATGACTAATCTTGCTTTGCTCTTCTACTCACTTTGATACTCTATATGAACTAAGAGATCAGCAGGCCAAAGAAGTAGTTTCACCTAAGAAATACAAAAGAAAATTGTAATCTCGACCACCCGTAATGTGATTTCAGTTCTCTTTTGATTTTTGAATCATTTAGGGAAGACTTCAGATGTGGGTGGATGTTTTCCCCAAGAGTTTGGGACCACCAGGCCCTCCTTTCAATATCACACCCCGGAAAGCCAAGAAGTAAGTAATCTTGAGACCCTGCTATATTACGCTGGGTACTTGGTACAGAACGAGAGGATGAAGTATCTTCAAAATGTGTTCCTTTCAGATACTACCTGCGTGTGATCATCTGGAACACCAAGGATGTTATCTTGGATGAGAAAAGCATCACAGGAGAGGAGATGAGCGACATCTATGTCAAAGGGTAAGTAAGGTTAGTGTGTAGGAGCCTTTGACAAACGGGATGAATTTGACAAATTCAAGGACTAAAATAGATTCTATATTAGTTTCCTAGAACTACTGTGACCAAGTACCACAAACAGGGCAGCTTAAAACTATTATTTCACAGTTCCAGAGACTCCAAAAGGCAAATAACGAAACTCACTGCCATTGAGTCAGTTCTGACTCATAGCACCCCCCATTTGGTTTCCAAGGCTATAAATCTTTACGGAAGCAGACTGCCCTGTCTTTCTTCCGTGGAGCAGCTGGTGGGTTCAAACCACCAACCTTTTGGTTAGCAGCCAAATGCCTTAAGCACTACACCTAGGAGTCCATAATCATGATGTCAGCAGGGCCATGTACTCTCTGAAGGCTCTAGGCAAATATTGTTTCTTGCCCCTTCTCAGCTCCTGTGGTTGCTGGCAATCCTTGGCGTTCCTTGGCTTGTAGACGTACCACTCCAGTCTCTGCCTCGGTCTTCATGCAGCCTTCTTCCCTAGGCGTCTATCTCTCTCTCTCTCTCTTCTCTTTCATAAGGACACCAGTCTGACCAAATGTTAACTGATAAAATCTTCAAAGACCCTATTTTCAAACAAGGTCACATTCACAAGTACCAGGAGTTAGAACTCTAACTTATCTTTTGGAGCATACAGTTCAAACCATAACAGCTTCATTGAGTTTACAGTATCAAAGGTGCTCATGATAAGATTCTTGGTCATTTGAAGCTATTGTATCTTATTAGTGCAGTTTTCCTGGGAAACTTGTAGGAGGCAAAGGAAGAAGAAACAGAAAGAAAAGAGAAAACTGTATGGATCTTGTTTATGAGTAGAGATATCTAATAACTACAAGAATTAATACATATTTCTTTGCTTCTCTTTTAACAAAATGAGTTTTCTTCAGCAGATTTATTATTTCTGACACTGTTTGGTCATGCAGTTTATTTTTATTCCTTTGTGATACCTTGACTAAGTAGCATTAGGAAATAAAGGTATATATATACATACATATTATTACCAGCAGCTAAATGTCCATGGAAAAGAGGAAACGTTAGCATTTCAAAAAAAATCACTCATTCCAGCAACATTTACTGACTGCCTACATCCAACATGTAAAATGTCCTGTTTGTTCAGTATTCTGTCATTTGCATAATTCAGGTCCAGTTAATCCATGTTGTGTATGTTATGTGTTATGCCTTGATCATAGATGTTGAATACAGTATTGTTGTTGTTATGGGCTGTCGAGTCGGACCCGGCTCATAGTGACCCCTCCTTGAGTTTCTGAGGCAGTATCACTACAGAAGTAGATTGCCCAACCTTCCTTCCAAGGAGTGGCTAGTGGGTAGTATAGTGATTAAGAACCCTGACTCTGGAGCCAAACTATCTGAGTTCAAGTCTTGGTACTTTTAGTAAGCTCACACTACCTTAGTGTCCTTCCTAGGGATATTCTGAACATGCAATTACTCAAAACCTTTAGGACAGTGTGTGGCACATGGTAAACGCCATTTGAGTATTAGCTAGTATTATTGCTATTCCACAGGAACTGGCTGAGTTTAGTTCCCTGATAAGTAAAAGATAAGACTGTTGAAAAACTGACATACTCCAAAAGTAAGAACAAAGTTTCGCTTATGATCCCAAGTGGCCCTCAATCAAAACTTTTGTTAAAGGTATAATTACTACCATTTAGGCTCACTGTAAACAGGGAATGTTTCATCAAGTTCTTCATTATTCTTTCTCATTTCAGGATCTTATTACCATTCCCCAAGGAAAACTAATCCCAGCTAATTACATATATGCAAATTTACTTGACTATCATAAGCTCTTTTTTTTTTTTTCCAATCGGGAACAAACTCAAGTAAATACTGGACTATAAAAACTCCTTTGATCAAAAAAACAAAGCACAACTTAAAATACCATGTAATATTTGGAATTAAAATCTAAATACTATATGTAGAAAGATGAGTAATGCATAAATAGCATACCTAGTGTTACACACATATATGTACATACAAAGCTGTACCTACATGTATAAAATACATACACTGAGAGTATTGTAGTTCTACAAATAACACACTCACATAAATGACACACAGACGCATATAATGCACATCAGTGCACATAAGAGACTAACGTGCAAGGGGGTTGCACAGTTTACAAAACACTGTATCATGCACACATTCTTTGCATAAAAATACAGTAATTGTTTTGGATTGACAGCAGCCACAGTGAACTCAAACATGCCAGTGATCATGAGGACGGCACAGGACTGGCAGTGTTTTATTCTGTTACTGATAGGTCACCCTGAGTCCAACCAACAACAGCAAGATATTTGTTTAACTTGTTTTAAAATTAAAATATGAAAAGATTTCTCATGACAATAGAGAGGAAGACCTTCAGGTGGTGAGCAGTCTAGGGGAGGAGGATGGTGATACTTTGAGGATGGGTTAGGAGGTAAAGCCACTGAGGTTGTAGCCAAGAATGTGTGGACTATCTTCAGTGAGTTAGTTTAACAGTTTAATAGTCAAAAGAAGTCTCACTAATTTAGCTAGTCAATTAATGGACTAGCCAAACGTGTTTTTGTGTGCTATTTGTGTGCTATTGAGTAACTTCCAACTCATAGTGACCCTATGGGACAGAACAGAACTGCCCTATAGGGATTCCTATTCTTCATTGGTATGAATACCACTACAAAGCAAAGGAGCTCTGATGGCATAATGCCTAAGGCATTTGACTGCTAGCCAGAAGGTTGGCGGTTCAAACCCACCAGCTACTCCTCGGAAGGAAGACTGGGCAATCTATTTCGGTAAAGATTTACCACCTCGGAAATTCAAAGGGGGTTGCTATGAGTCAGAATTGGCTTGATGGCAGAGAGTTTAGTTTTTTTACTTATAATAGGGCCTCATATTAGCAAACAACTTTATCATCTCCATGGTCTTTGAGGCAAAGTAGTAGAGCTGGACTTAGGAGTCAGACTGCCCTGGAGGTGAATACTTAATTTGGTCACTGACTGTGTGACCTTGTGTAAGTTACATTTCATCTCTGAACCTTAGTCTTCTCATCTGTAAAATGGAGACTGCTATATAGTTTTTGGGAAGAGTGAAGTAATGCACGCTGAGTACATGGTTCATAGCAGATGACCGTCAGCATGAGTTCAGAATTCCCCCCTTCTAAGCCATGGTCTCTTATTCTGTCCTCATATTGACCTTGTGAAGGGGCACATAGCATTGTCCTCTTGTATAGATGAAGAAATGAGGCTCAAGTAGCAGAGCACATTCACAACCAGGCCTGCCTTCTACCAAGAATCTCCATCTGTGGGGTCTAGGCATCAATATTTTTTGAAAGTTCCCTAATTGATTATTCTACTGTGCAGGCAGGGTTGAGAACCATGCATTCTGCCACTTTGCCAGTCTGAAACCAAATGTTATTCCCTGGTTCCAAACCAGGAGTCTTGCCAGTAGCAGGCAGATATGAGAACAGCCTCCTTACAGACACATTTATTCATTCTTTCCTTCAACTGGTATTGATTTTAGTGTCTACTATGTGCCAGGCTGAAATAAAAGAAAACTTCTTGAATGTTAACATCTTAACTTCTAAGCTGTTTACCAAAATGAACTCTCATACATATGCATATGGAAATAACATATTCCTTGGTAGGCTCATTAATTCAATCATAGCGAATTTAGGAATAATAATAATAATAATAAAGGAAGTTTTAAGACTACCTGATTCTTGCCTTTCTTGTTTGTTTAAGAAAAATGTGGAGAAGGAAATGCTAAAATTTTGAGCTAACGCATATTCATTAAGCCTATCTATGGTGATGACAGGCAATAATGAGTTATAGTTATGAAGATTAATATCATAGCCAGCAAAGTTCAATGTACCCAAAATAGAAGCTAAATTGTTGATATTTTCCAGAAAATTTCATCTTATCCCTGCTAACTGGAGTCTAAAGGATTTCCTGCTTTGGTTTTAGAGGAATTATATTTTATTTGGCTAAAACCTGTGTTGGATGCAACAGAACGCCTCCTCTTCATAAATCACCCCCAGCTCTGTAGATAACTGGAACCTGCCCAAGAAAAGTGCATTAATATTCTCCTGCCCTTCACTCCCCTAATCACTGCACAATTTTGCAGCTAAATTACTTGTCAATCACATGAGACTAAGTCTGTTTGCCTCTGCTTTTCAGCTGGATTCCTGGCAATGAAGAAAACAAACAGAAAACAGATGTCCATTACAGGTCCTTGGATGGCGAAGGGAATTTTAACTGGAGATTCGTTTTCCCATTTGACTACCTCCCAGCTGAACAACTCTGCATTGTTGCTAAAAAAGTAAGCTTTGAAATATGCCAATCGGAAGTGGATGTCATTGGCCTTCCTTAACTTAGAAACTCATAGAATGTTGGTGCTTCTCAGGACCTCAGAGGTCACTGGGTGCAGCTCCCTCTCGGTGCAGATGGGAACATGACACCCACAGAGGTGCAGATATGTGCCCGAGGTCACAGAGCTATGACAGGTATCTGTGTAATTACAAAGTATAAGGAATGCTACTTTCCTTGGAGGAGGATGAAGGATCTCTTAAAAGGTAGAAGTAGGATCTTACATCAATATAAGTGTGTTTTTTATGTGTTGGGGAAACCGATTTCTTCCCATGAGTAGGCAGAACTGTTTGACTAATTAGCCAAACAGAGGCAAAATACTGAAGTAGGTGAGACTTCCCTTTTATTTCCCTGTTAAACCTCAACATCTGCATTACCTTCAACAGTAACACTTCCTTGAGGATTCAGGGCCCTTGTGGTCCTGATAGGAGCTCTGGTAGTGTAGTGCCTAAGGGACTTGACTGCTAACCAGAAGGCTGGCAGTTCAAACCCACCGGCCACTCCTCGGAAGGAAGATGGGGCCATCTACTTCCATAGTAATACTGCCTCGGAAACCCAAGGAGGGGTCGCTTAGAGTCGGGTCCGACTTGATGGACATAACAGCAACAACAGTAGTCTTGATTAGTAGGATTCTTCATTTCAGACCTCAACACAACACAAACTGGCTTATATATAAAAAAAAAAAAAAAAAAGTTATTTATTGGTTCATGTTACTAAAAAATCCAGGGCTGGCTAGCTTTAGGAATGCCTGGACCCCAGGTTGAAATGATGTCTTGAGAAATTCATCTCTACCTTCCTGTGTGGCCTCATTTCTACAAGGGCTCTTCCCTTGTGGAAGCAAGATGGCTGCCAGCAGCCCCAGCTCACATCCTGTATTCTCAGCAACCTCAGCAGACCAGGAAGAACAAATCCGCAGGGCTCCAGCCAGAGTCCTGGAATTGGACCTCAGCATCTCTCCCTGTTTAAGCCAGGTGCCCATCTCTGAACCATCCATTGTTGCCCAGGGATGCAGTGCTGATTACTGACCCTGGAATTGAGGGTGGTGTCAGCTCCTCTCAAATTGCATGGACTAAGAGGGGAGGGGACAGTTCTCAAAGAGAATCTGAGTGCTTTCATCCAAAAGAGGGACCTGAAACCTCAGCAGACAATAATAACGTATGTCTTCTTTAGCTCCATCCCCCCAATTTCCTACTCTCTGTATTCTGTAAACCTTTCCTTGCTCTGCCTGGTCATCTCCTCTAGCATGACTGTCAAATGAGGCCAGACAATAGAATTGGCTTCCCAACCCCTCAGATCCAGGCCTACAGTGGAGCCAAAGGTAAGGGCCTCAGAGTCCAGTAATTGGTACTATTGAGTTTGTCTGTTTGTCTTGTCATTTTAGGAGCATTTCTGGAGTCTCGACCAAACTGAGTTTCGGGTCCCACCCAGACTGATCATTCAGATATGGGATAATGACAAGTTTTCTCTGGATGACTACTTGGGTAGGACTTATGCTGGATCATTTTCTCTAAGAAATTATAGTTAGAATTAGTGAAACCAATTAAAACGTGAAATCAAGTATTAGTCTCCAATGCTTGCTGGTAATTTCTGGGGGACACATTCACTACCTGGATGACCTGGCAGTGTGGCCTGTCTGTCACTTGTCTTGAGTCCCCCGGGAAGTGGACACAGTAAATGTTACCTTTTCCATGGCCCTGATCACTCTCATTGGCTCCTGTGGAGGATCTTGCATGAACTCCTATCTCTTTATTGTTGTTGTTGTTGTTGTTGTGTGCCTATCTCTTTATGAAAGCTCAAACCTTGTTTTCACAAGGGGACATCTACCCCTACATCTACTTCCAAACCACCCACCTCAGCACCTCAGAATGGGCTCCCATGTCCTCTTCCACACTCTTCTCAAAAGACACCAGGGTCCCTAATCCCCAACCCATTACCCTTCCACCTTCTTCTGCAGCTAAAGCCACTTGTCCCTGTTAAATGACCCCTTTCTCAGCCCTTCCCTTTCTTGGCATGCTCTCCTCCACCATTGTGCTTACCTAATTTCAGTTCTCCCAGCCTTGGGTCTGTTTCATTGGCTCTTATCTCCTCTTTCCTCTCTTTCAATACAGGCTGCCCTGGAGTTCTTCAGCTCTTCCCCAGCCCTTCAGTGACTAATCCACAGTGACTTACCCATTCTCACCTCAGTTGAGAGTGAGGTTTCCACTTTGCTCTGTCAAGATGTGACTCCTAAACCAGTGCATGGAGCCTGACCTCTCATGGTGCCTGACGTCAAATAATAAGAAACTATTATGATGATTATTCCCATTTGCTGACCGGAACCTTTGACCTTTATGTTTGGCTGACACCTCAAATTTACCATGACTGCAGTCAAACTTAGCTTCTCTTCCCTGACTGACCTCATCCCTGCTCTCCTCGTGAATTTATTTTGCTGTTGGAGGCGCTGTCATTTCTCCAGCCACCCAGGCAGAAACACCCAGAGTCCCCTGTGATTCCTCCTCTGTCTTGTTCCACATTCAGTCACCTGCTCAGTTCTAACCACGTAATCTGCTTGGTCACTCACATTTATTTTATTTCTATTATCTCTACCACTCGCTAGTTCAGTCATCATTTTCTCACAGTGAAATATAGCCCCTAACTTGTCTCCCAGCTTCAATCTTGCTTCCAAGAGATCCTGGGGAAGGAAAAACCCATAGTAGCCAATGGCTTGTCTTGTTCACCCGTTTACCCCTTATAGAACCTGATGGAGTGGCTTTGACTTGGTTGGTGCTCAGTAAGAGCTAAGCAAACACATGATAAGCACATATGCTAACTTATAGAGCATATGAGTAGTAAAAATATATATACTTAATTCCAGAATAGTAGAGAAGTAATACTTTAAATATTAAATTGAAATGTAAAATAAATCATCTGACAGTGAATAAGGAGAATGGCTATATTTCCAAATGGCTGGTAGCTGTCACCAAAAAGAGAGATAGGATGAAACATGCAAAGGCTCGAGAATTATGGATCAATCAAACGAAGAAGGACACCTGATAACTTGAAGGGCACCAAAAACCTCACCATTGTTCTTTGCTGCCGTTGTCAAAGACCAGATTCTAGTCCCAGTAGTCCATAGACTTGATCCCACATCACAAATGGCATTTTCTTAAGGAGAGGCTCACATGAGGTCCCACAGCCAAAGGACAGCCATAGTGAAAGTGATACCAAAGACTTAATGCCTCATTTCACGGAAAACAAAACGTGCTTCTGCAGGTACCCTGGTTCTGGGCTCCGTATTTCCTGGTGAGAATTTCCTAGTTAGCTAGTTATGTTCCTGTTTAAACTCTTGTTCCTGAGCTTACACTTAGGAGAAACTTGAACATGAAATCTGTGCAGATCTTCCCATTTCCAAGAACCAGTTGTCTTTACCAAGCGACCTCTCTGTTTGGGGCAGCAGCTCAGATTCAAAATGGACAAATTTCAAATGAAAGGGCCCTCAGTTCAGTGGAAACTTTGTCTATATATGTTGGATGACTTTGAGCTTATAGATAGAAGAGCTCTGTTTATGCTCATGTCTTTGAAAACATGTACTTCTCTGACAGACACTGAGAAGCAGACAGACAGTTCCTCTGCCATTTTCCATCCTATTTGGAAGAACTTTAAACACCAACCAGAGTCTCATTCTCTAACTCATCCATTACCTGTTCAAAATCACTGTCTGCCTCTCCTCTTGACAAGAACATTCTGTTTACGTATGAATGATGACAGATCCATTTGAAGAGTATTTAGGTTTATTGTTTCCTTGATTAGGTTACCTGGAACTTGATTTGCATCACACAACCATGCCAGCAAAATCATCAGAGAAATGCCACTTGGACATGATCCAGGACCTCAAAACAATGGACCCCCTTAAAGCTAAGACAGTCTCGCTCTTTGAACAGAAGTCCATGAAAGGATGGTGGCCATGCTATGCAGATAAAGATGGCTGCCGCATCATGGCTGTGAGTATTTTTTGGTTAGGTATCATTTATTCCTTTTGTCATTTTGATTTTACCCTTTATCAGTCGATTACTCCAGATAAGATTAAAAACAAAAAACACGCACTGCCACTCATAGCGACCCCTCCTTGGGTATCCGGCTCATAGCGACCCCTCCTTGGGTTTCTGAGGCAGTATCACTATGGAAGAAGATTGCCCAACCTTTCTTCTGAGGATTGGCTGGTGGGTTTGAACCACCAACCTTCTGGTTAACAGTCAAATGCTTTAGGCAGTACGCCACCCAAGCTCTCCCAGATAAGATGTTGTTGTTGTTGTTGTTGTTGTTATATGCCATCGAGTCGGCCCGACTCATAGCAACCCCTCCTTGGGTTTCCGAGGCAGTATCACTACAGAAGTAGGATTGCCCAACCTTCCTTCTGAGGAGTGGCTGGTGGGTTTGAACCACCAGCCTTCTGGTTAGCAGTCAAGTGCCTTAGGCACTATGCTACCAGATCTCCCCAGATAAGATAAGAAATGTTAAATTGGTGAGACTAAGTTATGGGAATGGTTTGTACCTAGGATTACAAGAGATGTTGGGAGATGCTCTATGTGTTTAGGGTTGGAGAAAGGTACAAACGCAATGCAATGCACTGCACTGCCATCAAGTCAGATCCGATTCATAGCAACCCCTCCTTGGGTTTCCGAGGTGGTATCACTACGGAAGTAGATTGCCCAACCTTCCTTCCAAGGAGTGGCTGGCAGCCTTCTGGTTAGCAGTCAAATGCCTTAGGCACTATGCCACCAGAGCTCCTTGGAGAAAGGTAAGAGGGTTAAAATGATCAAAAAACTAGGAGCTGAAGTGGTTGCACTATATTTCTTTAGGGTCCTTCCTCACCAAACAGTTTGATTTATGCTAAGCTTCCAATACAATTCAGTACAGAAAAAGGAACTTCAAATTGGAAAGGTTCTCATTTTAGACTTGAAGAACTAGATGGTGCCCAGCTACCACTGTCAACCACTCAGAGGAGGATCTATGTAGGAGACCCTGGATAGAGTGGGAGAACAATGTGGAACAAAACTAAAGTAAAAAAAAATTTAAAAAAGAGACCAGATTTGCTAGTCTGACAGAGCCTGGTGAACCCCTGAGACTGTGGTCCCTAGCTGCCTTTCACGTCTGGAATTGAACCCACTCCTGTGGCTCTCAGCCAAACAAAAGACAGGCATATGAGCTGAACATTTACATTAGGTAGGTACACTCCTTTGAGAGATCAATCATGGGAGAATAGAAGGGCTGTTTATGCACAGGGAGACAGCTCAGGGGGCAGGAGTGCATGGAGGGAAGGGCACAGGGAAGAGTTGGCTATTGGGATGAAGTAGGAGGAGAGCTGTTGCATTGTGGGAGATTGTAGTCAATGCCATGAGACAAAGTGTATATGAACTACTACTATATGGAAGATGAATTTTCTCTGTAAACTTTTACCCAAATCACAATAAAATAAAATAAAAAAAATAGGAAAGGTTCTCATTTTTAAAAGGAAAGAATTAGATAGTGAGTGCTAACATCCATGGAACAAGAAGGTCATAATTTATAAGCAATTTTGGCTGATTCAGGATATATTTTCCACAGTGAAGCGCTATCATACCATGGCACAAAAGACTACCTAATTCATTATGTATTACTAATAATAGCTAGCATTTTAATCACTAATTATGAACCAGGCAGCACACTAAGTGCTTTCATACATAACCTCATTTTTTAAAGCAACTTTGATGTACATTTTATATACAATAAACTGAATCCATTCAAAGTGTACATTTCAATGAGTTCTGACAAATGTATACACCAATAAGCCACCACCCCAGTCAAGATCCAGAACATTTCCATCACCTCCAAAAGTTTCCTTCTGCCCTTTGCAGTCCATTGCTCCCTCTGGCCATCCCAGGCAACCACTGGTCTGCTTTCTGGCACTGTAGCTTCGTGTCTTAGTTACCTATTGCTGCTATAACAGAAATACCAAAGTGGGTGGCTTTAACAAACATATTATTTTCTCACGGTTTAGGAGGTTAGAAGTTCAAATTAAGGGTGCTGGCTCTAGGGGAAGGCTTTCTACCTCCATCAGCTCTGGAGGAAGGTCCCTGTCTCTTCTGAGCGTTCACGCCTGAGCAGTCTTCATGCGGACTGACATCTCTCCTCTCAAATCTCTGCTTCCTAGCTTGCTTGCTTTATCTCTTTTATATCTCAGAAGAGGTTGGCTCAAAATACACTCCATTAATCCTGCCTCATTAACACGCCAAAGACAACACATTCCCCAATGGGATTATAACCATAGGCATAGAGGTTAGAATTTACAGCACATATTTTGGGGGGACATAATTCAATCCATAACATTATACCCTTTGCCTCCCCTGAAATTCATGTCCTTGCCACATGCAAAACACATTCACCCCATCACATGATCACAAAAGTCTTAAATCAACCTCAAGTCCAAAACCTCATCCTCTGTAGCATCTAAATCAAATATGGGTGAGACTTAGGCATATTCCATCCTGAGGCTAAATACCTCTTCATCTGTGAACCTGTGAAATGTAGAATACCAATTATCTGCTTCCAAATACGGTGGTAGAACAGGCACAAGGTAGGCATTTCCTTTACAATTGGGAGAAATTGAAGGAAAGATGGGATAGCAGGCAGCAAGCAAGTCCAGACCCAGCAGAACAAATTCCATTAGCTTTCAAGATCTGAAAATAATCCTGTGTTCTCTGAGACCAACTGGGCAACATCCTTGCCCTCCAGACTCTGAGTGTTGGCCACATCTTCTAGATTCTGTCTAGAGGCCCCTCAACCCTGGGTGTTTCAACTCCAACTTGCAGGCCCACTGGGAGGGCAATGCTGCTGTTCCCTTGGCTTTGGGCAGCCCCATTCCCCTAGTCCATCTGAATGATGACCCCACCCCACCGGCCCTGGCACAGCCTGTTCTTCTGCCTCTTGGGCATGGCAATCCTGCCCCCTCAGCTTTGAGTGATGGCCCCATCCCCATTGCACACCTTAAAGACAGCCCCACACTCTGGAACCAAGTTGACCACCCGTTCCCAAATGGGATTATAACGACAGGCATAGACGTTAGGATTTACAATGCATATTTTGAGGGGGACATAATTCAATCCATAACAATTAGTTTGTACATAATCTCATTTAATCCTTCAGATTACCCCATACAATGGGTATTCTCCGTTTTATAGATTGAGCAACTTGCCAAAGGCAGAAACTCAGCTTTGTCTGACTCCTAATCATGGGCTCCACCACCTAAATGGTTCGGTGTCATGGTTTCTCAAATGCTGGTGACCTGGTCACCTTTGCTGGGCCTTACAGAGTCCATCCAAGTCTTCATTAAACCAAGCTATAAGAATGGGCAAGTTTCTAGATCTCATTCAACCTCAATGTTTTCATCTGCACATAAGGATAATAATGTTCCTGTTGTTAGGTACCGTCGAGTTGTCTCGGACTCATAGTGACCCTATGTAGAACTGATGAAACGCTGTAAAAATAATACCCACTAACATAACAGCTTTAAAGTGTTGCCAAGAGCACGACATGAGATTACCCCTATAGAAGGCTTAGAAGCACGCCCAGCACATCACTCAGGAACCTGTGTATAGGGAAACAACATTCATTCATTCATTTCAGCTAGTGTTTAAGTACCTACTATGTGCCAGTAGGTAGCATACAGTGAGAGTATAATGTTTATTTAGCATGAAGAGACATGCCCCACTCTCTTAGTGCTGACTGTTAATTCTCAATAAATATTAGATACTGTTATTAGCAATATTCAGGTTAATCTGGGCCCAAGTAAAGGCGATTGATGTGAGAAAGATAGAATGGCAGGGATACAGAGCATGGAAAGCCAGAGCAGGGAGGAGGGGAAAGCAATCTGTCCTCTCAGTTCCCCACACAGTCGTTTCAGAAACACATGGAAGAGGAAATGTGAAGAATCTCTGGAGGAAAATTTAAGGCAATCTAAGGATTGTTTTACAAGAATAAAAATCACTGCTCAGGGAATACTCCTTGGATGGAAATAAAAATATTTGTGAAACGTGATGTCATGTGTTTAACCTGTTCTGCTTTACTGAAGGGGAAAGTGGAGATGACATTGGAAATCCTCAACGAGAAGGAGGCCGATGAGAGGCCAGCCGGGAAGGGACGGGATGAACCCAACATGAACCCCAAGCTGGACCCACCGAAGTGAGAGGCCTTCTTTGTTCTCAGCCTTGTCTGATCCCCAAACACCTGCAGTCTGAAAGCCTCCCTCCAGTTGCCTTAATGGGATGGCTTAGCTGTTGCCCTTTTAATTCATACTTAATAGTGGGAGGTGGAAAGTGGAGAGGTTGGTGATTTCCCTTCATTTTAACCACCCTCCTTTACTGTGAAACCAAAGTGCAGTGTGTCTTTGGGACTTTAGGAAGCTGTAATATGTTAAAGCACTTTTCTCAGCCAACTACAGGGAATAATATCTTTTCTTGATCTTTTGAATGCTCTTAGTTATTTTTTAAACTATGTTATAAAATATGTGTGCCTCCCAAGTTGGGAAGGTAATACCATTTCTTTGCAATACAGCCGACCAGAAACCTCCTTCCTCTGGTTCACCAACCCGTGTAAGACCATGAAGTTCATCGTGTGGCGGCGATTTAAGTGGGTTATCATCGGCCTGCTGATCCTGCTGGTCCTGCTGTTCTTTGTGGCCGTGTTCCTGTACTCCTTACCGGTGGGACCCCTCAGCCTCTTTCTTGGCTTTCTTGTACATTGTGATTGGTTATCTAAGATGGCATTTGCTTTATCGCCATTCGGAAGAATGATTCGCGTGGTAGCTGAGGGATCACAACTTTTATTTAGCTCTTGGAACATTAAAAGCAATACAGCCTGCCATTAGAATTATATTCTTAGAGTGTCACAAGTTACAGACAGACTTTATGCTCTGAAAGAACTTTGGTTTCATGGATTCTAAGAGACACAACTCAGACCTTTATCAACGTGTGCCTGGACCTTAGGCTGCCTTTCCCACTGATCTTCCTGCCTTCAGATCTTCTTATTCCAAACTGTCCTGCACCCTAACTCCTTGTCCTAGCATTCAAGGCTCCCCAAGTCTGGGCTCATTTGTAAGTCTAACCATGTATTCCACTGAAACTAGATTGTTGCTCCCCAAAACACTTCCGCCCTTTCTCACCAGGATGTCTTTGTCAGTGCTATTCCTTTGCACACATTTTATCTATCAAGATTGTCCTCATTCCTTAAGGCCCAAGTCACACACCACCTCTTCCTTAAATTTCCCTTAATCACTCCAAACCTAAATGGGAATCCAACGGGATATTTGGCAGTATGCCTAAAAAAAGTACATTCATTCCTCCATTCCTCCATTCAAGGAATGTCTTGAGCATTTACTTACTCTATGTAGGTTAGGAGCTATGGATACAGAGGAGTCTCTAGGTGGTGGAAACAGTTAACACACTCAGCTGCTAACTGAAAGGTGGGAGGTCTGAGTCCACCCCAGAGGCACCTCAGAAGAAGGGTCTGGAGAGATCCTTCTGAAAACTCAGCCATTGAAAACCCTGTGGAAACAGTGCTACTCCACTATACAAGAGGTTGTCATAAGTCAGAATGGGCTTGGTGGCAAAAATGAAAAGGGATGAGGGTACAGAGAGAACCCAAGCATGATTTCTGCCTATGAGTGGTGCATAGTCCGGGAACAAACAGACATATAAACGAGTGAATTACTATGAGAGAGAAGCTGTTACAGAGATACGGCCATGGGAGCCCATTGCTGAGGAAGGTTTCACCAAGGAAGGAGCATTTGTGCTCAATTTGGCAAGGAAAGAAGGGACCATCCAGACAGAGGCAACTGAGCAGAAGCAAGCTGAGCAGCTGAAGGCTGCAGTGGGCATTCAGAAACTCTTCCTTCCGTTCATGTTAATAGCAACAGAGACTATTTCATGGTGAGTAGCTTAGTCACATAGCCATAGGACTGAGCATTTTGTGTCTTAGTCCTTTCCCAGTACAATACTTGCATTTTTAAAAATTATGCATACACACTCACTATTCGGTAGTCTGGTCTGTCTTGAACATTTAAATAATTCCTCATAGTGTTGTCCGTTTGTTTTTTCATGGTTTAGATAATGTTGACTTAAACCAATGGTTCTCAGCTGGGGCAATTTTGACCCCTTAGGGGACATTTGGAACTATCTGGAGACATTTTTTATTATCACATTTTCAATTGGCATTTCTGATTGAAGGTGCTCCTGGTGTCTAGTGGGTAGAGACCAGGGATGCTGGTCAACGTCCTGCAATGCACAGGACAGATCCTAGAAGAAACAATCATCTAGTCCAAAATGTCAATAGTGCCAATGTTGAGAAACCTTAACTGTAATACCTATTTTTATCACATTTCTGTTTCCTTTTCAGAACTATTTGTCAATGAAGATTGTGAAACCAAATGCATAATAAAACCAAAGACTTCTTTTCAAGAGTCATGCAGCCATGAAGGAGTCCTGCCTTCATTTATGGAACAAAATCAAGTGTCAGTTTGTTTGCATCTGAGACCACAGACCCATGACATATTACCTTCCTTCACCAGGCCTATCAGTTCTTAGAAGGTCCAAGTCCTAGAAAGCCAAGCCAACAAGCAACATTTTATCCTATTATCTTTTAAAGTATTAAAAACATTGTTTTCTAAAGTTTTAACAATATTTTTCAGGACATTTTCAAGGTGGCTGGTTCCATTTTAAAATCATCTTTTTATGTGTCGTTAGTTCTGTAATTCAGTTTTTGGAAATCACTGAAATGGAATTGAAAATTTCTGTGTCTTGACTTCGTACACTGCTTATTTGTAATCAACAAAAAGGGCTGCACATTATAAAAACAGAATAGTGAGAGTAATTCTTATTTATGCCTGTAACCATTGTTATGATATTTTGTATGGACAAACTTCATGAGACTCTGTTTACCTCTGAAGTATACCCAAATAAAAATGTTTCACCTTTGCACCTGGCTGTTTGTTGTAGTTTTAGGAATAGTTGGGAAGGAGGCAGTATCTAGTTCTCTGAGTCTTAGTGAATGGACTACTACATCATACCACTGGGCCATAAACTCCTTATTAAATGTGCTGCCAAACTTTGACCAGTGGGTCAAACTGATGCTAATATAATGAATAATAAAAGCTAACACATATTAAAGGTACTTATTCTATGCACAGAATTAGTTCATTTAATCTGCTACATAACTCTATAAAGGTAAGTAACATTATTAACCCTATTTTACATTTGAGGAAACTGAGGCAGAAAGGGATTAAGGAATTCCCAAAGTAACACAACCAGTAAAATGGTAGAGCTGGAATTTGAACCAGGCAGTCTGGATCCCAAGCCCACTGTCCTAGCCACTCTTACGCATGACACACCACCACCAGTGGGAGGTCTGTCAAGAGGCACACAGTACTGAGGTGGTGAAGTGATGCAATGACAGGAGCAACGTAGTGTGACTCCATGCTGGCTCCAAAGACCATCAGTCTGTTTCCTAGAACATATGAGAACACTGTCCTGTTAACATATAAGAAACCATGGTGCATTAGTAAACAGATCTATTTGAGCAGCAACATGAGACAGAGGGGATCAAGAACTAGTACAATAATGAGGCCACCTCTAGACATGTAGACAGTGTTATATTGCAATGGTGATTATCTTGTCATTACTGCTAACTCATGTTTTGAATATAGCTTTTGAATATTCTAATTCCCTGAAATGTTTGGCCAAAAATTCTAGTTCAAAGTGTGCTCAGTCACCAAAAGGGTGAGTCACAGCTCTAACTAAACTGGAATGCTCCTCAGTTCCCCCGTGTGCTTTGTATGCTCCTCCCCCTGAGTCCGAACATGTCCTGTGCCCACACACAACGCCTCCACCCACCCTTCTCTGGCAGAACTCCCACCTACCTTTGAAGTTCTGATTCAAATGCCACTTTCTCCTTGGCACCTCTGGAGCCCCAAGGAGATCCTTCAGTCTAGTATACCCTTTCTGGAGAAATATGGATAAAAATGCCTATGCCCTTTGACACAGTGATTCCACTCCTAAGCATTA